TTCAGGGTAAGGATGTGACTCAGCTCTAGCCAATCAGTGGATCCTAACACCCAGGCCACAGTGATAGATAATGGCCATGAAAACATTATATAAATATATAGCATTTTAATGCTTGAGAAAAATATGACAAATAATGAGTGCAGAAAGAAGGGAAAATTGCTATTAAGTTTGGGGGTCATAATAGTCTCCTAAATAATAAGACCAGTTTTTAAGTCAAGTCCTTTCCCTTTTCTGAACTTCAGTTTTCTTATATATAAAATGAGGTCAACACAACTGCACTCAGGGTCTCTTAAAGGTCCTTTCCTTTCTAAATCACTAGACTTTTCTGAAGTTCAGAAATTCAGGAGTCTTATAAGCGTTTTCCAGCTGGACATTACAGGGATTCCAGTGTTAAACCCGGGGATACAGGAATGATCTTACCACAGTCTTGGCCTCAAGGAACTTGCAGCGGATGAGTGTGAGATAGGGTGAGTATGTATTCACTTTTCCACGTGGTCTAAGCTCTTTACCTCGTCATTCTTCCCCAGCCATTAACATGTGCCCTCTTAAATGACAGTTAATCAGTTCTCCGCTAATACCTTTTTTCATGTTTCTCCCCTGGAGAGGTTGCTCTCTTCTTCCCTTCTTTCACTCCAGGAACACAGATGCATGTGACAGATTATCTGGCCATAGTTTCTCTGACATGAAGAGAGATGATATTTCAGTCAGTTTTGATTTCCAGAGCATCTCAGAACTCAAAAGGCAGAGTGACTCACGGAATGGAGGCAAGTTAGGACTATTAGATATCAAAGGTAGTTCGAAGACTCTTTCCCCGCAAATCCCACTATACATAAGGACGGTCCTGGCTGCAGATCTGTTCAGCCACTTAGAGCTGACAGGACCAAACTGCGGCTTTGGTATCATCAATTAGCTTCATTACTTGCAGAGGAGACTGTTGTGGTGACTGTCTGGTCTAGTTTTTCCAGTTGGATGAGCAACTCAGATCGACTGTGAAGGTCTCTATCAGATATTAAAGCTACTGCAGAGGCTTGGATCTTTGAAACAATATTACTCTTCCCCATCCCAACTGGTCACCATTCTCCTTCTATCTCACTGGATACTAGAAATTACAAATACTCTCCTAGAACTATGGCCCTTCCAAGTTGGACCAAGTAGATCTGGGCAGTGGGGAAAAAAAAAAATCCTTGTTGACAGTTTACCTTTAGCTGGAAGACAAGGGAAGGAGTTGGTTTCCTTAGCATTTTATTAATCTCTTGGGTGAATTCTCTTTGCTGAAATTAGAACTGAATTGTCTACTGACCGGACCATCCCTGGGGCTACTGGGTGATGGAATAGTTAGTAAGACTAGCGTTTTGCACCTTTCACCACCTTACTTCCCAGAGAACTGGGCTATGAAGGCATGGGCACTATAGTTGAGAGGTGGGGAAGGGCAGAAATAAAGTTCTTAAGACTCCATGGTATTTTCAATGGTAGGCAAGTCCTAGTAGACAAAGTAGAGGATTTATTGGGCAGAGCGTGAGGATAGGGAGGCAAATACACCACTGTGGATGTGAAAAAGCAGGAAAGATGGAAACATGTAGGAATCAGGATGAGAGATGTCAGACAAATTTACCATCCTCACAGTTTTGCTTCAATCAGATCTGTCCACTAAGTAGATTGCTCCAATGGGGCCCATCAGAACTCAACTGGAGTAGAATTTTTCCATGGGGATGGGGAAGGAGGAGGGAGGAGACAGCTGATACAAAGACTGTGAAGTCATTTACTCCTATCTTATCTAGGTGTCTGTTGAATGCTTCTTTAAGTGGTTTGAGACAATCCTTGGTCTTAAAACCAATGAAAATGAGTTGAAAGCTAAAAATACTCCCTGATTTTGCTGAGGAACTGGTTGGATTAATTAGGTTCTCTATCTGTCATTTCTTGTTCAGGTGTATTTGATTTTTTTTTTTAAACCAAGCTACATTTTAATAAGTGAGCAGTTAACAGCAAGGTGCCATAAACTTCCTGTAATTTCTTTGGTTCTTTGCAATGTTCTTTTACTATGTGCGTGCATGCTCAGTTGTATCTGACTCTTTGCAACCCCATGGACTGTAGCCTCCTAGTCTTTTCTGTCCACGGAATTTTCCAGGCAAGAATACTGGAGTGAGTTGCCATTTCCTCCTCCAGGGGATCCTCCTGATCCAATCTAACCCGTGTCTCCAGCATTGGCAGACAGATTCTTTACCACCGAACCAGCTGCGAAACGGAAGCCCTGATTTCCTGGACAGAATGTGCTCTTAAGTCTTCAAAAAAAAAAAAAAAAAGAAAAAAGGCCAGAAAATAGCTAAGGACTTAAATATTTTTCTTCCTTCCTCTTGGTGTTCAATCTTGTTCTCAAAGCAAATTTTTGTAAATTTTATTTAAAATTATTAACTTTACTTCTTAATCTTGGTGATAACAGAGATTTTGGTATGTTTTGTTCACTTGTTATCCCTAGTGCCTAGAGTTGAGAAGACACTCAATAATTACACTTTGAATGAATCAGTGAATGAACACAAGAATTATATAAGTAAATAACACTTTAGTACCAATAGATAAAAAGTGCTAAGCTAAGATCACACTGTAGGTCTAGGGTAGAGATGTCAAGCTACAACTTTGAGCAGTATGATAAGGACACTCTAAAAGATGGTATGAAGGCACTGGGACTTCCATGGTGGGCCAGTGGCTAAGATTCCATGCTCCCAATGCAGGAAGCCTGGGTTCAAGCCCTGGTTGTTGAACTAGATCCCGCATGAAACAACTAATAGAATGAAGGCACTTGTTAGTGTGTTTTAGTCGCTAAGTCCTGTCTGACTCTTTTGTGACCCCATGGATTGTAGCCTGCCAGTCTTCCCCATCTCTGGGATTTTCTAGGCACGAATACTGGAGTGGGTTACCATTTCCTACTCCAAGGGATCTTCCTGACCCAGGGTTCAAACTGGTGTGTCCTGCATTGGCATGTGGATTCTTTACCATTGAGCCACCAGGGAAGCCCATGAAAGCACTTAGTGGAGTTTTAAAATCGCTAATTTTAAACAAAAGAATATCTATGGAAGCACTTCAAAATATTGGTATTATATAAATATCAGATTAATACAATTTTACACATGTATGACTTGCAATCTGATTGGTTTTTTAAAAAATTTGGAATCAACTTTTATGACTGAAGTCACCATACCTTGACCAAAGGTGCCAAATGACATTTTTGAGTCTGTGTTAAAAGTGTGACATTCCCACAAATGTCTAGCAATCTAAATGCTTCCTAAAGAGGGAGAAGGTCAGTCAATGTGACAACCTAAAGGGAGACTTCTGCTTCTTGAGAGCCCACTGAGTAGGAAGTCAACAGGTGCAGAGGCAGTCTCATTAAAATGTCTGGGATGTCATTTGGCCATTTGCAGGAATTCAGCAGTCCAAGTGAGAGCTGCGTAGGTAAAAAATGTGAAGTCCACACAAGATAGCCTCATTTGAATGCTTTGCTCATTGGGAAAAGAAGTCCCTAGTACTGTCCAACTTCCACAACAAAACAGAGCTTGCTGAATTCCCATCACCCGTCAAGAGGAGACTCTTCGCTGAGCCATCTACAGATTTTCTAGGTGTAAAACAGAAGTGAAAAAAAGGTCATCAGATAGGTGGATCGGCTATGATCACTACAAAGAGACTTGAAATACCCGGGGAAAGCAAAATTGTCTGGAGATAACGATGGCCTGGTTTGTGTGTCTCTAATTACAATGATTCTTTTAAAAAATTTAAATCCATTCATTAAATGTGGATAAATCCTTGAATCCTGCCACATCCGGTCCTCGAAGCGCCAAACGCTTCATGTAAGGACAGCTGTGGGGTGAATCAGTTGCTCTAAGCTTTGGGGCTGCTTCCAACTTCGCTATTTGCTCAAGCCCTACAGGTCAAGGAAAGAAGTGATGTAATGCACTTAGCTGGGCCATTTTAATTACAATGGAATGGAGTGGGGGCGGAGCTACAGGCGGTGACAAGTTTGGCGCATGACTTGCTTAGGGATGCAGGAAACAAAAACACCAGCAACCATTGGCTGCGTCCACTTCCGACCTCTGTCTCTAGCTCCAAGTCTGGAAGCTTGAAAACATTTCTTGGGGAGAGGGGTGGCGCCAGCTTACAGATCGTCAACCATAAACACACACACACACGGCGCGCGCGCACACACGCCCCACGGAGGCTGGCAGCGTCCTCGCTGCTGGGATGGGCGTGGGGCCGAGTGCTCGCCACCCGGTCCCCAGAAGGTTCTCCCGAAGCCAGCTGCAGCGGCCTGGTTCGGCTCGCCGGGCCCGCGGACTCGCGTCCGCGGAAGCTGGTGTCGCCGGGGCTCGCTCCTAGCGAGCCGCGCTGTCGTCATTCATTCGCAGCGTCCGGAGCGTCCTTCCAGCCGGGAGCTGGGCTTCGCCGAGGGTGCGAGCGGCCCCCAGGCGGAGTGTTCTCGCGCCGTGCCCCGGCGGGCTCTGAGCGGCTGGAGACGCAGGCGGCCGGGACCCTGGGTGGGCGCTGCGGGAGCAGCCGCACCCCAGCCCAGCTCCGCCCGACCCGCGGGGCAGGATCAGCGCGAGTCGCCCGCAGCCCTGCCAGCTGCCGAGCCGGATCCCGCGGCTGAGCCACACCACTTCCTCCTCCTCCCGCTCTCCTTCCTCCTCCTCTCGCTCCTCCCGCTGCCGTGGGCCCCGACCCGGCGGCGGAGCCAAGGGGCCCGGGAGTCTGCGGCCGCGGGCTCGCGGGAGGCGGCGGCGCCGCGGAGAGGATGCTGCTCGCGGCGCCCGAGTCCTCGCCGTCCTCCCCGGCCGCCCGCGGGGGCTTCGCTGTGGCCCGGGCCCCGCCGGCCGCCCCCTGGTGAAGTCGCTCTCCGCCGTAGCACCTAGCTGGCGGGCAGGCGGGCGGGCGCGCGTGTGCCCGGGGCTGCGCGCCGGTGCGTGCCGGACCCGACCCGCCGCCCCATTGTAAGGGAGCCCGCGGCGCCAGGGAACATGTGGGTGAACCCCGAAGAGGTGCTGCTGGCCAACGCGCTGTGGATCACCGAGAGAGCCAACCCTTACTTCATCCTGCAGCGGAGGAAGGGGCACTCGGGCGATGGAGGCGGCGGCGGCGGACTGGCGGGTAAGGACCTGCGGCCGGTCCCTGCGGGTGGGGGGCCCGGAGCGCTGCGGCGCCGCCCGCGGTCCTGGGCTGCGGACACCCGAGACGCCGCCCTGTCCCTAGGGGCTGGGCCGCCCGCCCCGCTTTGCTGCGTGGAAAACATCAGGAGTCGTCATATTCAGACTGAATGAGGTGCTTTTTTTTGCTAACCCTGTCGGGCGACGGGGCCCTTCGTGTACCGGGCGCCCGGTCAGTGGGTGATGTTGATGAGAATGGAGATGAGAGAGTCTGGGGTGAGGGGAGCATCAGTGCTTAGGAACTGAATGCTGTGTATTTCCCGTATGGGCAAGAGAGGTGAAGGGCAGTTAATTTTTGCTTCATTTTCTTTACTGGTAATGGCAGGATCAGGTATAAAATCTTTTGTTTCCAGGGAAGCAATCAGTAAAGAGCTGATGTGGTCATTTCCTATGTTAGTTATGACTGAAGAGAAAAGGAAAAAGGGAGGAAAAAGGAATATTGTTGTTGTTGCACCTAATTAGGCATAACAAAGCAAGTTATCTGGTTATAAAGTAATTAGAAATGTAACTGCATTTTAACTGTTTTAACTCAATCACTTCCCCAAACCCCCTCACGAGGTATTTTATATTATGACTAGTACTAAAACCATGCCATCTCATTCCAGTTTGTAAAACCAGACCCCTACCACCCTATCCCAAGACATCAGAAAGATCTTCCTTTACTAACTATCTTGGGTGGCGGGAGATGACAGATAATCTTGAACTCATACTGTACTAGAGAAATGGGACCCTGCCCTCTCTCTGTTGGTTAGAATGAACAGAATAGGGATATTTTTTACAATGAAAAAGTTAGCAGAAAAAACAGGAGAGTGATTGCAGAAAAGAGATGAACCTTGATCTCTTCGGAGTTAGAATACATCCCCCACTTGGAGCTTGTAAATTGTTGCTTTCCAAAATGCCTTGCTATAAACTAATAATTCTTGACATAGTATGTATTTAGTTGTGATTCTGCTGTACGAACTGGTTTTCTCAAGATTGAAATTCAAGGGTCACACTGTACCGTAGCTACTGGTTTGAAAGACCTTGCTAATGCATCAGATCACCTCTAGGTAAACTGATTTTTCTGCACTTTTTCTGCCATAAAAGAAGGGAATCTGCAGAGCTCCAGATTGTATTCCAGAAATTCTGACTAGTGTCCTAGAATCAGAATTTTCCAGTTCATTTTGTAGAAGCTGTTTAACTATATGTATTAATATGAAACTTGCATATTTAATATTGGTATCAGCCCAGATTGTCCTTTAAGTCTAAAGCAGCAATGTAGAGTAGATAGTTTATTGTATTAACATTTCCAGCCTGGAGATAACCCTTCTCACACCGTGAGCTACTGAGTATTTATTTTCTAGAGTCATTTGCAATAGGTTATAAAAGATAAGATGCAAAGCCTTCCTTTTCTTTAAGAGTTTGTTTTTGATATGGACCATTTGAAAAGTCTTTATTGGATTTGTTGCAGTATTGTTTTTGTTTTATGTTTTGGTGTTTTGGCCTGAAGGCTTGTGGGGTCTTAGCTCCCCTATCAAGGATTGGAAGGCAAAGTCCCAATCATTGGGCCACCAGGAAAGTCCCTAAATCTTTTTCCAGTTAACATTTTTATTGTGTTCCCACTAACTCCCACTAACTCAATCCATTCTCATCATTGATGACTTATTACAGATAGATAAACTTATCTTCTTAATTGAAAAATTATACCTATTAACAGTTATTGCTAGAATAATTGAAATAATTGAAATCAGTAAAAATATTCCCGTCAATAAAGGTTATTTTCAACCAACATAGGAAAAATGTTTCCCCAGATAAATTGGTGCCATATCAAATGAAGCAAGGACATTTTAGAAATCCTTGTATAATGCATAGTATTCCATTTCTAATGTGGGCTCACGCATGCATTTATTAACTCACCGTATCATTTAAAACATTGGTTAGTCACTTCTGAAGTACCAGTGTCATGAAGCTCACAGCCTATTGGGAGAAGACAGATGCTGAGAAAATTATCCTATAAATTAATATAAAATCACCACTGTCTTAGCAGAAAACCACCTAACCTAGTTCAAACGAAGAGAGTTTAGTGAAAAGGCATCTTAGATGGAGGCAGGGTTACCAGAACCAGTGAAAGGCACAGAAAAGGTGGCAGGAATGATACTGCTGGAGACCAAGTGAACCCAAGCCAGGCAGGAACAGTTTGGGCCTCCAGAGAAACTGCCACCCCTAAGAACAGAGACCCCAGCAAAAAGGAGGTATGGAGGACATGTCCAGCTTCTGTCTTCTCCCTGCCTCCAAGTTTCTGCCGTTGCCTCTCATCTGTGGGACCCAAGAGAAACTGGCTGGATGGGCTGTCCTGGTGATCTAGTATCGAGGACTCAGCCTCCCAGGAATGGATCTGGGATATAGGTGCAAACTGAGAATGACCAGCGCTGAAGTCCAAGGAAGGGAATACCATGTAGGTTACCCCTTTCCTGGTGGGAGTGGGAGAAAGGAGAGGTTCCTGTAGAAATGACACTGGGGCTGAGACCTGAAGAAAGAAAATTAGCCTGTGAGGAGAGGAAGGAAGAGCAAGTGTTGGGTATCAGTTATCGGAGATGTTCCGGAAGATCTCAGGACCCTTATGTAATGTGCGTTATCTGGATCAGTGCTGATCAAATGCATGATGGATGAGTAGGTAACCTGAACTAGTCAGAAGCACTCAGTGGTTCAGGGCGCTTGGTAAGATGTTGGCACCAAAGCTATAAAAAATAATGGGCCACAGTGAGGATACTGCCCTTCCCCCTAAGAGTATTCTTTTTGATTCCAAACAATATACATAGGTATTGACATAATGAGATTTTTTTTTTTTTAGATTGTAGATGCATTTGATTTATTAATGCCCTTTAACTGAAATTTCTGGAGAAGGAAGTGGCAACCCACTCCAGTATTCTTGCCTGGAGAATCCCGTGGACAGAGGAGCCTGGTGGGTTGCTGTCCGTAGTGTCGTGCAGAGTCAGACACGGACTGAAGCGACTTAGCATGCATGCATCCTTTGGAGAAGGAGATGGCAACCCACTCCAGTATCCTTGCCTGGAGAATCCCAAGGACAGAGTAGCCTGGTGGGCTGCCATCTTTAGGGTCGCACAGAGTGAAGCGACTTAGCAGCAGCAACTGGAATTTCATACACATATATGCACAAAATAGAAATGCAGAGTGCAGTGACTTATCACAAAACACCTTGTAACCACCACCAGTATAAAAAATGGAACACTGCAATGCCTCAGAATTCCCCTATGTGGCCTTCTCCCAATCACTGCTCATCATCAACTGAAGGTAAAAAAACAAACGAACAAAAAACCTATCTTGATTTTTTTTGGTAAACACTTCTTCCTTTTTCTTTATAGTTTTTGTGACAAAGAGCCTATCTGTAAATACAATATTTTGGTTTTGCTTGTCTTTTTTGATCAGGGAATGAATGGCATCATGGATTATGCATTGACATGTGTCTAGATTCTTTGTGACTAGAATTCATTTCCCCACAACTGTGTGGAAAACTGTTAGCCAAATTTATCAACTGTTCTGTTGAAGGACCTTGGATGGTTATTTAGGGTCTGTGGATAAGGTGGCTGTTATCATTTTGCTGCACAACAGGCCAGTTAACCGAGAGATGAGGTGTTGAGGCAAGGAAAACAACTTTATTCAGAAACATGGCTGACAGACAAGATGGCAGACTAATGTCTCAAGATAAACATTTTGCTGGGGTCTGGAATCCAGTTCTTTTCTAGGACAGAGAAGGGAAGGAAGTAAAGACTATTATCTTGCAAGTGTCTCCTGGAATGGCTAATCTCAGGGACGGGATGTGTTAATCTCTTTAGGCAGAGCCACAGGGCTCCCTGAAGCAGGTCATTATATATGATTATAATAACAAAAGCAATGAAAAGCAAAGGTTATAGTCAAAGAGACAGATCCATCATGGAGTCCTAAATGGCTCTTCCTTGGAGCAATTCTTGTTTGTGTTTTTTGGTGCCTGTGGCCATGCACCGACGGGAGGAATTGTTAGCTTGTAGATTATGTGCCTCATCAACTTTAATAGATGATACCAAACTTTTTTCCAAAGTAGTTGTACCAACATACTCCCCCCCACAGCAAATAGGAATTTTCCCTTGCTCCTTATCCTTGCCAACATTGTCAGTCTTTGTAAATTTAGCCTCTGTGGTGGTTTTGCAGCAATGTCACATTGTGGAGTTAATTTGCTTTTTCCTTACTGATGAGATTGAGCACCTTCTCATTTTGTGATATGAGTGTTCAGGTCTCTTGACCACTTTGCATTTGGGTTGTTTGGGTTTTTTTTCTTACTGATTTGTAGGTATTTTAAAATATATTCTGAATATGAGCTCACTGTTGGCTGTACATGTGGCACAGTCTTCGTTCAGTTGCTTGCCCATTCATCCTTGAGGATGAAAAGATGTTCTTAATTTTAAAAAACCAAGTCTTTAATAGAGTCTTTTTCTTTATGGTTAGTGTTTTATTGTGTCCTGTTCAGTAAGTCTTTTCTTACTCTGAGGTTATAAACATAGACTTCTATATTATCTTCTAGAAACTTTTCAGGTGTTTTTTTGTTTTTTCTTTTCTGGCTGTACCATGTTCATGGGGAACTTCCCCAACCAGGACTCAAACCTGCACCGCTTGCCGTGGAAGCGCAAAGCACAGAGTTTTAATGAGTGGACAACTAGGGAAGTCCAAAGCTTTTCTGTTTTAACCTCCATTTGTTTACCCCCAACTTTATTCACTGGGAATGAACTTTTGCATACTGTGTGAGATAGGGTTAAAGTTTTACTTTAAGGAGTATTACGGACACCCAGTTGGCCCAGCATGATTCACTGCCGAGTCCATTCTGTTCTCAGTCTCTTCTTACAAGATTGCCCCTGTGGGGCCCCTGTGTTCATAAATCAAGGGCTCCAATATGTGTTTGGGCTCTCTAGTCCA